TAAGGTGGGTGGACTTCAACTCCCAGAATTCCCCAGCTAGCAAGCTGGTTAGGGAATTCTGGGACTTGAAGTCCACCCATCTTAAAGTTGCTGAGGTTGAGAAAGACTGAGTTAGAGGAAAACAGATGCTGAGCGAATGTTGAGAAAAACTGGGCTGAAGCCAGAGTAATCTGAGAATAGAACCAGCGACACAAAGACGTCGCCGGTGGGTCTCAGACGGAGTCTGGGCATTTTAATTTGGATTCCTGCACTGACCGGGGAGGTGGGACTTGACGGTCCCCTTAAATTCTGCGAACCTGTGGAGTTTGGAAAATGGAGAAATGTGGCACAGATACTCTGGATAGTATTGCAGGAAGCCGAGGGCGACAGGACGTTGTGTTTTATTGTACGTGTGCCTAGGACCAGCACATGTCACAAGACACCCATTGCCCTGGAAACAGGAAGTCGCCTATATGTTCCTCCTCACAGCTGTGCAGAAAGGGAGGGTAAAGCAATAATAATAATAATAAAGATTCACAATTGTGCCGCTTGGCAGTGTGGCGAAATACATCCTCAACAAGAAGAACAGCCATTGTGTTCCTGCTCGCAAGCCTTGTCACCCCCCCCCCCCGCCCCGGTATCAATGTCCAAGGAGAAGGTGTGGAAAATGCTGCAAAGCAGGTTCTGTCGCTGCAAAGCTTCTCCTCCACCGGGGAATTACTCAGCTGGGTTGGGAGAGACACAACCCAGCAGCGTAAGAACCGTCCCTAAAAGTTGCTGGAAGGAAAAGCCCCGATCCAGAAGGGCGAAGGAGCCTCAGGAGGACAGGCTGGCAGCAAGTTCTGTGCGCGAGGGGGGCCTGCGCCACAGTCCCGGCACGAAATGCTCACGCGACGAAATCCTTGCCTGTTTTTGCCACGCAGCTGTGAGAAGCACAACTCTGTCACTGAGCGGTCCTGCTGGGGCACCCGGATTGGCAGGTGCCGAGAAGAGCGTCACGGGGGCACTGCTCTTCCTGTTGTGGGAGCGGGTCGGCAGCTGTTTCCGCATCCGCGGGCTCGGCCGAGAGCGTCCCTCTTCCTGGCCTCGGCCTTGCCACACCTGCAGCTGCGAGTCCGGCCGGCGGCTCTGCCCTCCGCCCGACGAGCTGCCTTTCGCAGCGGTGGAGAGATGCCTGTCCAGGGTTCCCGGCCCGGGATGACGGCTCTCCGGGGAAAGGCGCAGGCGAAGGCCAAGAGGCGCTTGCGAATGAGCAGAAGGCACTTCTGCTTCGGGCGCGGCCCTCTCATTTTCCAGTGGGGCCTTGAATGGGAATGGCTCTGTGCAGATTCCCACTGGCCGCACTGCCTTGCTTATTAAATTTCTGTCCTGCTTTTGAGCACAGGGTGGAGTCCATGGAGCGCTCTCCTCCTGTTTCCCCCACCACAGCAGCCCTGTGAGGTGGGCTGGGCTGAGACGGGAGCTTGTGTGGCTGAGGGGGGACTCGAACATGGGTCTGCCCTGGGGCAGTCACCGCTGTATTGGATGGACTTGCTCATACACAAGTTGGGGCACTGCAACGCCCCACGTTTGTG